TACTTTGCTTGTTAGCTTATTAGATCACTTTAAAAACAGTCTTTTTAAAAATTAGGAAAATCTGGTATAATACTCTCCATTTTATATATGAAAAACTTCACAAGTCGTTACCACCCCTCAGCCTTATAGCCCCTCCCTATAAGGGTACAGACTAGTCCTCTACTGGAGACTAGTCTTTTTGTATCTCAATTCAGAATCAAATTCTTTGTAAACTTGCCCCAGACCTGTAATCGAGTTAGGCTCCCCTCACTGAACTGTAACTGTTTACTTGTCTGTTTCTAACAAAAACTATTGAATCCTTGAAGAAAGTGTCTACAATTTTTTTTTTTCAATACTGGAGCACAGGGCCTCACAAACAATGGGTAAGCGCTCTAACCCTGAGTCAAACTCCAGTTTTGTAATTTTTAATCTGAACAACTACCACTAACATGCTCTTTGGCCTATTGTAAACTATTTAAATGTTGAAAAATTCTGTGACTTGCTGAGCAACAAAGGCAGAAGTAGAAATCTGGTATTAATTCCTCATGTGAATTTCATTCGTCTAGACATGACTGCCTTCTATTAATGAACAAATGTAACAAGACATTTCTGATTAAAAAAAAATACCCTTCCTCCCATTTTCATGTTATCTACACAGAACAGTATTTTCTTAAAAGGAAAAACTACAGGTTGCAAAATGGAATTATATGAAGTGCTTCAAATTTTTCTGATGTTTCTTGAGATGATGTTTCTAGAGTCAAACCCTGAGAGAAACAGGCTAACAAATGGAGTTCACTGTTTTGGTTGTTTCACCATTTCTAGAATAAAACATTGTCCAACCCAACCCATACTCTCAGATTTTGACCTGTTATCTTTGTTTTAATTATCTTAAAGTCTTAATATCATATTCCAAAGACGGAAGACTAAGGTTGACACATACATGGAAAGTTAAAGCTACAAAAGTTAGGTGTATTTTGATGGATATTCAAGTTTGAGATGCTTGTTTGAAAACTTTCCTCTTAGAATTACTTCATCCTAATGTCTTTAATGCTTCTAAAAGTCCCATATCCACTATTTGCCCTTTTGACAAGCTCTTTTTCCTATTATCATCTACTTCACACATTTTATTTGTTTACTTTGCAGTACTGAGGTTTGAATTCAGGCCTTGTGCTTGCTAGGAAGGCACTCTACCCTTTCAGCCAAGTCCCCACCCAACTTCACAGATTTTATTAAATCATGTCTTAAAATAAAATTTCCTCTGTTCTTCTGGCCACAATGCAAATTATATTATTTCAAAATGTGGGGGAGAGAAAAAAAAAAAAAACCTCTCACAACCTCATGTTATTTATTCTCTCAGTATTTTATGGTTTTCAAAGTATTAAAAATGTTTTATGATCGTAACAATTTTACAAAGTAGAAATTTACCTAGAGAGAGGAAGCCAATCACCTAAGAAAAGAAAATGGGGGGGGGGGGAGAATGAGTGATCAGGCCTAGCTGTTTTGACCTCAAGATCAATGCTTTTTCCTCCATAAGACTTGTTGACTTCTTCAGAAAAGTGATTGTTTTGGAAAACAAAGTCTTGCTTAAAAATTGCCCAATAAAAACATTTTGGCTCTTTTTAATACCACGAAATATACTTAATGACATCTGTCTATAGCAAAATCAGTTAATCCTGAAGATTATCTATGACAAATAATGTTTCTTTCACCTATCTCACCACTGAATTAAAATCGTGAAATTTGGAAATGTATAAAACATATTCAATAGAACACTTTTTCAATTAATAGTTTAGAATTCATTAACTAATACTAACACAAAGCTCTGCCAATTCTGATGGGCTGAGAAAGTTCTTTGAAACTCATTTTACCTTCCTGAAAAGGGAAACCTCCTTTTAACACTATCTGTGTTTATAGAGAGTCATTCCATTTCCTAATTTTTGCCAAAATGTATTTTTCCTTTGAGATACAAGAATCGTTTCCAGCTTAGATGTAACATAAACCATAAGAGTATAATTAAAAAAGAAGATATGAAGATGACATGAATATAATAAATACAGAGACCATTGCAGTGGGAGAGATCAGACAGAACTCTAACGTAACATGAGCAAGTGAGGCGGGAAAAGGAGGAATCAAGAATAGTACCTAGTTTTTCCTAAACATCTGGGAAAATGGTGCTGTGAAGGGCTGGTATTAAGAAGAATTGGTGTGTGCTAAGGGAAATGGAGGTAGAAAGAAAGATTTTAGGGCGAGTTTCATTTGGACATTCAGCTCATGAAACCTCATAACTATTTTCTATCCTACTTTATTCCACTGACACTTTTTAAAAGCACTGTGATGTCATAATTTATCACACTGACTTAATTTGCTACATACTTATTTGTCTCCCAAGCTGAACACATCCTTCCTGAAGGCAAAGGCTATAAGATCTACTCAACTTCCTTGAGAAGACCTAAAATGAAGTGGTCACTTAAAACGATTTTAATGAATAGGGTAGTATTCTAGAAACTCTGAGGGAATATAAACCAACAAAGAAAGAAAAGCTTACTTTTCTAGAAGTCCCCATTACCTACACCTTACTTTCAATAAATAAGGTCAATAGAAGTCATAACAGGATATAAATCCACTTCAGCATCAAGCCTGCCATCAGGTAAACCCACTTACAAATAGCATACATTATGTATAGGACAAATCAACTCCCACCGTAAGCCTCTTGGCATGAGTGCTAGTGGGCTCATACTTATTAACAGTTTTGCCTATACTTTACAGAGTCAAACATCATATGACCTGTGTATTTCAGATAGGTTTTCAGTTAAGATTTTTATTTTTAAACACTCTATTCACATTATGTATTTGCAGTCCTGTACAATCTAACAGATTTGTACAATTAAAAACACATATTTACTTTTAAAACTTATTTGAATAAAATCTGAGGTAAGAAACCAAATTCTTCATTTATCAGTGGGGATGAGAAAACCAAAGCCTGAAGAAATTGCTTTAAGGTTCTACAGTCATTTCAAAATGGGGTTAGGTTTAGATACTGTCCACCTGGCCACAGAACAGAATTTTTTCCAAAAAGACTGCGTTTATAAAATGAATTAATTTGCCCATTTTGCAACTGCCCAAATAAATTTTATTTTTATAATTTTTCTATTAAGTGATATTTCAGTCAACTTCCTAGGAAGGATCTGACTTAAAATGAAGTTGGACATATACTAACTAAAACAAAACCAGGTAAAATCATGTTACCATGTATCATATGGCATAAGGTAATGCCTGAGATAGTATGCAGACAAATAGATATGTATGACATACACATCTCAACTCATAGCCCCATGGTCATGGAAGCTGAAGAGAAATGGAGCCACTCCCACGTGTGCTCATAAAGTTTGCAAAGCTTGCTGTTATCATGTCCAGCTATTCCTCTGTTCTTCATTTTTATTCAGTCTCAGTTTCAGTGGTAATTCTCTCCATTTTCAAGGCCTTTCAATCTACCCTTTCTGCTCTTTCCCTTCACAAAAAAATAAAGCATTTTATATTTATTATCTACACTTTGTTGGCTGACAGACATAAGACAATATTGAAATTAATTTTAAACAATATATTAACATAACTTTCTAAGTCTTTAATCCAGACATGAGGGATGAAAAGTTTGCTCCCAGAAAAATTCTCACATCAGCTGAAAAATGGTGAATTGAGTGGTGGAGAGAGGTTCCCTCCCTTCTAATCATTATAAGGACAAGGTCTGAAAGCAAACCAAATTATCTCTTTAGGGCACAGAATGAGTCTAAAGGGGTACATGGTGCATCCTCCACTGTAAAAAACAATGATTAGCATTCTTGCTCTAACTTTGGTAGACATTTCGAACATGAGAAATTTAAAATTTCTAAGATTTAAGATAATTATTACAGTGAACTGAAATTACAACTCAAAAGTATTTCCAAACCTAGCTGCACATATTCATCCTGTTTACAATGTAAATATGCTATACTCACATAGTAGCTTATGCTTACAAAGTGTTTTCATATGCTACGTCTGTTGAACTTTAACAATATACACAACACTTCCAGTTTAGAAATGAAGAGTCTAAGGTTTGCAAATATAATAAAAAGCACAACCAGCACTGCATGTAAGATGTCTGAATCCAAGTATTTTCTCATTATAACATATAACTTATACAGAAAGATTAAGACAACTTATATATGTAAATTCCAAATACTTTCATGTAAAAAAAGATATTGCTCCCAAATTTCAAAATAAGTTATGTTGATCTTTTCAAGTTCAAATTTCTTATTATAATCATTGTTAAAAATAATTGTTTTTATAATTTTCAGTTGTCTCACTCTTCTTAAAGATTCAGTAATACGTGAAATACTGTCAAAAACATATAGCTAATGAACAGAAAAATTCATCTTTCAATATAAAAATAAACATTTCTCACTTATAAGTTTTTATTGATATTATTTGAAATTCTTACTCAAATTAATTTAAAACATTAGCTTAAATATTTGCAACTGGATAGTTCATTTCAACTCAGTGATTCATGTAGATTTTTAAACAGCTTTTTTTGCATATTTGATTAATTTGTTACCTTTGAAGGGACATGGTATCACTACAGGTTACATCTTATTTCTGCAAAAAATACATATTACGTTGGCTTTCTTTAAAATGAAAAATAGCATTATCCATAAGCTATAGTTCCTTTATCCAACTGGGAAATTGAATCACATTTAACACTGTACATATTTAAAACTCATGTTTATTTCAATTTTTAAATGATTATTTGTTTCATAGAGCACAAATTCAAAGTAGCAACTATTAAAGTTACCTATTCTAAATTTACTTTTCGAGTTACTTCTTTGATTTCAAGGAAAAAAAGACATGTTAGAATAGAATTTTTTAAGTGTGAAAATTGACCATTAGAATGCTGAGTTTTATTTCTGAAGAGAAGTTAAGTGTATTCATTAAAAATACAGCACCTGAACACCTTATAGAAGAATAGTCAAAATGAGAAAAGGGCTCACCAGTCTGAGTGAAACCAAACTGCTGTAGAATCTCCTCAGGGGTCAGCAGGTTAGGCTGTTTTAACTTAGGTTGTTGTGAGGAGGCTGGTGGTGGTGAAGTAAGGGAAAGATTTTTGTTGACCTGCAATAGAAAAGGCAAATCAGAAACTCTAGCATAATTCCCTGGGTTACTGATGCAAAAACCAGATGAGAAATGTTTGCTTACTATCCAAACCAGGACACGATAGGTCAAAAGGAGTGGTAATGATTTATATAGTTACTTTTCAAAGTGTACAACACAGAATAGTTTTTATCAAGGAAGGAATACAGTGGTCATAAAAGCATAACCATATTAAAGTAAATTAGACTTTCTAAAGTTTGCTTATCACAAAATTGGCATTATTTAATAACTTCAAATACAGTGGTCTTAAGTTATACAAAGAAATACAAACATAAAAGTGACTCTTGGCTGCTTTTAATTAAGGAAGAGTTAAAAATATTTTGTGCCCATAATTCTCTAGCATTTTAGTGAACTAGCAGGTACTTCCTTTTGAGATATTGCACAGAAAACACCTGTACTTCTGTTTATAAGAAGCATGGTGACATAGATAACACAGCTGTAACCTAACTTGCCATGTGAAAGTTTCCACTGCATCAAAAACCTTATTTTTAAGGCTGTGTAAAAACAGCATGATTATTTAAATAATTACCAAGCAAAAATTTTCTAAGTAAATACAATGTTCTATAACATGAAATCTACTACGATTATCTAATGGGATGCATGATAAATGTAATGTTTTAATTATATCTACTGCAGGAACATAAAGAACAATTAACTAAAAATGTTCAAAAAGTTTATTAGCAAATTCATTTCTAAAAATTAGCATTTCGGGGAAAAGCTATTCTTTTGTTCATTATTAATAAATTATTCATTCATTTTATTACTTTCAAGAATCATAATAAAATGTGATCTACTTTTAAAAATAGCCTGCAAATATGTAATCTGTGAATTAACAAAATGACAAGATAACTTACAGGATACAAATATTAGTATATGAAAACTTTCTTTTAATTTTTTTTATTTTGGATTAAATAATCAAAACCACACAGGATTTCCACTGATTAGTATTCAAAAACTCCTTTTTGAGGTTCTATGAAAGATAATACTGCATTGTGCTCTTTATCTGACTCATTTACAGATTTCTACGTTTCTTTTCTTTCACACAGTGATATAGACAGCATTTTAGATTAACTTTTTCTCTTGGAGCAAAAAGCTTTGGCAGATTCAGTAAAAAAAGTCAATTAAGACCATCTATAGTTCTAAAGTACCTAAACTGTTATGATGTAATCTCATAAAACATAAAAATATCTTTCTTACTAGGAAAGTGCTCTACCACTAAGCTATATCCCCAGACCAAAAATATTCTTCAGAGTAGTTAGAAAGGGTTAAACACTACAGCAGTGCTAAAATATTATCTAGCTTTAAAACTTCTTAGGCTCCATTATTAAACACTCACCAAAATTAATGTTGAACATTATACAACTATATTACCTAAGCTAACAATGAACTTAGGATCTTTGAGGTTTATCAGTCATCTTTAACTGGAAATAATTAAAAGAGCATCTATGCTTTGATGGGAATATGCCAATGAAGATGAACTGGTATTATTAAGTGCTATTTGCACATTAATATTGAAGCCAGAGATAACATATTAAATAAGAAATAGGCTAAGTAGGGCTGTGGACATGGCTCAGTGGTAGAGTGCTTGCCTCACATGCACAAAGCCCTGAGTTTGATCCCCAGTAATGAGAAAAAAATGAAGAAATATTCATATTAGCAAACATTGCAATGCAAATGAAGTGCTAGATAAATATTAATTATTATTGACATCATCTAGAAGGAGAATTAGGCATATTTAGTCTAGTATGATGATGTAATTAAGTCTTTGTATACTCAAAAGGACATGTTAATCACTTAACTATTTAATTCACTTCTTTTTAGAGTTATTTGTCAATTCTCTGTATTCTTGAAAAAAAATTTCCAACATGTCAAATAATGCATTTAAAATTTGATGCAAATGATCAAATATATCTCTGGGCATATAAATATCTGCCTGCCTGCCTATCTATCTATCTATCTATCTATCTATCTATCTATCTATCTATCTGAGGTTATGAATATGTACACACAGTAGGCCTTTTATAATCTTCTTCTTCAGGACTTGTGCTAGAACAACAAAAGATATCAGCAAAGCTAGAACAGGATACTTAAATGTCTTTGCTCAAATGGAAAGACTTGTTACTTTTTAAATAAAATGTTGTTTCAGAAACAACCTAACAACTATCATTACACCTTCTTCCTAAGCATTTGTATAATTCTGTTCTTTTTCGACACCTTTCTTCAGAGACCATTCAATGTCCATAAAATGTTGAGCAGCAGCATAAAAAAGCAAGTAACTCAACTTCCAAGGTTAGAGATAAATGTTACTGTTAACAGATTAGAAATTAAAACTCAAAGCATCTTCAAAACCAGCATATATCTGTATATGCATATATCACTTCATTTAGAGGAAGAAAAAAATAATAACCATTAAATAGAGTGAAGCAATATCTATTTTTGAAATATATGCTGTGGAAAAGAATTGCTTAACAACTTTACAACAACAGAAAGGTTGGCTAAGATAGTCTACCCTATACCAATCTACCCTCTTTTCACAACACATTTTTCTGCTTGCTTCATGCAAAAACCACAGTCTGCCAAAGTCAGTTTAATACCTCCATATTGGAGAAAACTAAAAGCTCAAAACTTGAGTGAAATTCATAATAGTGAAAAAGAAAAAAATTTACCTAGAACGCCTGCCACGTTAATCACAAAACTGTTTTGCCTACTCTTTTAGGGTGTAAGCAGCTTTATGCAAAATATGCAAACACTAATTCTCTAGGAGCTGGTTAATTTTCATGTTTAAAAGCTCACTGCCCCAAATTGAATGCAGAACGAACAAGTTAACAAGAAACAAATGAAACAACTATTTGTGTGTAACATTTAGTAATTATTTAAAATTTAAAACCTCTTGGAGAAATACAACACTCATTTCCATTTATATTTACAAGTCTAACCATTTTAGCCTACTTTCACCAAAAATAGAACTGTGCATGACTTTTTAAATCTTGAAGACTCATCTTTGTAACTAAAAAGATGCTGATGCTACTGATATTCTTAAAAGTTCCCAAATTCATCTCTTTCCCTTGACAGTGGTCATTTTTTTTCACCAAATCCAAACAATAACACAGCATTTTAATTTGAAGACACACAGGGAGACAAAAATAGCCCAGTAAATGTTTTGTTACTAATCACCCATCTGTTGTAAAAACCAAAATTCCAGTACTAAAGAGCAAGTTAAACAGAAAGCTTGAGCTAAGTGAGATTCAAAGTACCTGAAGTCAACTATCTTTTCCATTCTCAGAATATAAATTCTAAGAGCAACGTATGTTACTACTTGGGTAAAATCTCAGAATGAGTAAGCCAGGATATCCAAATATGATCTCAAGGCCCTGGGATATTTTCTCTTCTTTACCATCCAGGTTAGAAAAGTGAAAGATTAGGAAGGAATACTAAAGAGCAATTTCTTCAGTGGTGTCAGAAAAATCTCACTCTTGACCTAACTCATTAGTACTACCTTAGCTAAAACCAGATTTCAAATTTAAAGCAGTCAGTTTAAAGTTCTATTTTGTAATATTTAATCAAAAACTTCTGAGCCTCTGATAGCTACCAAGGAATGGTGGTTCAAAGATTACTGATATGATTGATTCCTCTAAGTAAAGTTCAAAATTAAGATCTATTCTGACTCAAACCCAATCAGCACTATGCCTTTGGGTAAGGCAATTTACCTTGGTTTTCTTCAAGCTTTTACCTCCTTTCTTTCCTGGTAAACTGCCCAACTTCACAGGAAAAATCTGGTATTGAACCTTCTGAACTTCTAACTTCCAAACTTATGAAAAAAATATACCTCTTGTGCTTGCCCTCATCTCTTTTCTTGTATTATCAAAGGAAAAGGTGTTCAAGATTAATACTTCCATTGGCTCCTTTAGGAGATACTCTCTTTTTTTTGGTGATATGGGGTTTGAACTCAGGGCCTTGTGCTTGCTAGGCAGGTGCTCTACTACATGAGTCACTCCACAGCCCAGGAAATGTTTTTTTTTTTTTCATTTTTCTTTTATTATTCATATGTGCATACAAGGCTTGGTTCATTTCTCCCCCCTGCCCCCACCCCCTCCCTTACCACCCACTCCGCCCCCTCCCTCTCCCCTCCACCAATACCCAGCAGAAACTATTTTGCCCTTATTTCTAATTTTGTTGTAGAGAGAGTATAAGCAATAATAGGAAGGAACAAGGGCTTTTGCTGGTTGAGATAAGGATAGCTATACAGGGCATTGACTCACATTGATTTCTTGTGCGTGGGTGTTACCTTCTAGGTTAATTCTTTTTGATCTAACCTTTTCTCTAGTACCTGTTCCCCTTTTCCTATTGGCCTCAGTTGCTTTAAGGTATCTGCTTTAGTTTCTCTGTGTTAAGGGCAACAAATGCTAGCTAGTTTTTTAGGTGTCTTACCTATCCTCACCCCTTCCTTGTGTGCTCTCGCTTTTATCATGTGCTCATAGTCCAATCCCCTTGTTGTGTTTGCCCTTGATCTAATGTCCACATATGAGGGAGAACATACGATTTTTGGTTTTTTTGGGCCAGGCTAACCTCACTCAGAATGATGTTCTCCAATTCCATCCATTTACCAGCGAATGATAACATTTCGTTCTTCTTCATGGCTGCATAAAATTCCATTGTGTATAGATACCACATTTTCTTAATCCATTCGTCAGTGGTGGGGCATCTTGGCTGTTTCCATAACTTGGCTATTGTGAATAGTGCCGCAATAAACATGGATGTGCAGGTGCCTCTGGAGTAACAGTCTTTTGGGTATATCCCCAAGAGTGGTATTGCTAGATCAAATGGTAGATCGACGTCCAGCTTTTTATTAGCCTCCAAATTTTTTTCCAGAGTGGTTGTACTAGTCTACATTCCCACCAGGAAATGTTCTTAAACCTTTTCCAATTTCAACTTTCAAATTCTCTACTGGCTATTTCTCCATA